TTGCCAGAGATCGAATTTATCCCAAGCTGTTCTATTTCCGATTGGTGCGGGAAAATGAGTTGACTATCTTCCGCATCGGACTCAAAAACCGAAATTTAGATTTTCATGGGATTTGATCTTTATCACTCTCCTCGAGGAATCCCGAACAAAATGATCAGTGTTATGTCTGCACTCCACGGTATCTAAATTTACTTTTCATCCGCAATCGGATGTTGGAACGCGAAGAAGCAACGTCTTCGACGTCCTCGCTAGGGAATTTATCGTAGGGAGGTTCTGGGGAGATCTAGCTACTTTGCATTTCCGCGCCCGGATCTGGGGTCAAAATCGGAAAATTGATTTTCCCTGCAGGGCTCGCCCTCGGACAATGGTGGTTGTATAGGAGGGTCATCGATCCCGAAACCAATGGTTGGATAGTGTCCAGGCAGTCCGAACGAAAGACGAATCGATTGGTGGTCCCGCTCGGATTTCCCTGCGGGAATAAAGCCGATTGTCCACGGGTGATTCCCTAGATGGAACAGCCCAAGTGTCTTTGCGTTTGTCTTGATACCAAGACAAGGATGGATCGCTAGGGCCGCGCCTTTCCCCGCAACTGCGGCTCGAATAAGCAACAGCGTTTCTTTCCGAGCGGTACCCCCCAATACCCTCCAAACTCCCTAAAAATGTCCAAACCTCCAGCTCCATAAACTCGTGAATTACCCGCAACCAGGATAAAGGGTAACATTTGATGCTCCATCATCCGGCGCGTCAACTCCAACTTTTAAAAGGGAGTTCCAAATGTTCCGAAATTGATTACGAGGTTAATTATAAATAATGGAGGTTCGCGAGTACCTACTCTGCAGGAGTCAGCACCAGCTGGAATTATTTCCGACCCTTCTGGTAATAGTCACAGGTTAATAACAATGCCTAACAATATCCAGGAGGTGTCGTCGAAATAGTACGACGCCCATCCGCAATTAAGTCGATCGGAATACTTGGACGGATTTAGAATTCATGTACTTCCCCTCGCTACGACCATGTCTAATTCAAGGAAGCGAAGCTTTGGTTGTAGCGTCCCAGGAGGTCGGTGTTCCTGTATGAATTTATGTATAGGGATAAAGCAGGCTTCCCCTGTATGATTCAATAGGCGGATCGATCGATCGTCCTCCCAGCATCCCAGGTCTACCAAGTGCGGGAGGGCAAGAATGGTCCATCGGAACATCGCACATGGAACGTCATCTCTTTCCTGCAAGTAGACACAAGCCGAGTTCAAGCTTGGCGTGCCGCGTTAAATAAATTGTGGGAATCCTCGCATCGGAAAGTGAAATCGTGCCCGGCATCCTGGCGTCGGGATTCCAAGGTTTCGTTCCGGGATTCCCAGAGATGGAGTCCCATGGGATGTCTTCTCTGAAATACGACTAGTTGTTCTCAGGGCATTCTCGGGTAAAAGCCAGGTTCAGAGACCCGAGGCTACGCTGGATGATCGTCTCCCATCCCTAGTCACTTTCGACGCTGGGAAACGAAGCCTCCACCAGATTTCCCCAGATTTCCACAAATTCCCCGAAATTCTCCCAGATTTGCGGTACCGTTTTGATTTCTCTGCGGGAATGGACCCGACTCTAGAAATCCATGTCTATTCCCATTCTCCATGGTATAGAATAGACATGGACGTGTAGTACCCATCAGGCGACGCTCAACAGTAAAAAGCTCATGCGACTTGTTTAAAGTACCCGCGGAAAAATATTTCCTTGAATGAGTAACATATTTATTGGTTCAACCGTGGTCATTATATGTACAGACAAATACTCGGTTGACGTGACTAACTGGTCAAGTGAAATAAAATTCAGTTCACGCAATTGAAATGAACCGGACGCGACCAAACGATCTGTTTAAATTATTATTTTACCTCTGCGTGTACTTCTGCGATGCAAAGTAAACCGTGTTTGTAGGTTTCGTTGGTGCGTCAAATCAGAGAAGGAGGTTCTTCCCTTAGGAAATCCAGATTGGAAGATTTCAAGCTTCTAATTGTTCGATTTGGTTGGGGTCATGTCCGACACCCGAGGATGGAGCTTCCGTTGAAGTCCCCTAGATTTCTGGTTTTCTTTCCACTTCTGGACGAGAATGAAACTGCTTATCCCCCATTGACTGCCGGTCTGGATCGGGTGATGGGTCCTTGCGTTTGCCTTGGTGCAGGGACAAGCACGGACCCCTGGAGGAGCACTCGTGGTGCTCCATATCACCTGGGCTCGAGTAGGCTCCGGCATCAAAGCGGCCTCTGCTCAAACACTTCAGTAATGGCGCGGATTCTCTCAAGTGTCCCATCCTATGCCTTGCCCTTCACTCCTCCGGCACCAGGTGCTCAAAGCAACGTCGGGGACATCATACAAAATGGATTATCCCGTCTCAAATCCCGGCCGATCCGAACTTTCTGTTTGCCCTGGACCGAATTCCGGCCAGCCTGGACTACTCAAATAGACTTTGCAAATCGGGTCCAACTAAGACAACCCAAGACGGGATGTTCTTCGCTCTCGTTTCTTGGCGATCTGATCGCAATATCCGAAAGGTAATCCTTCCTTCAACGAGGCTTTCGCTTGTTGGATCTCCCGGCTCGCCTCCGACAATAGCGCTCGATTGGGCGGATTGAAAAAGAAAGTATCCGGAATTATCCCGATGCTCAGGACCTCGCGGATCCTTGTTGAGGAACCCGAATGGAAACCAAATACGATCATCGCGACCAGCTCTTTTTGGTTTCGGTTCGGGTTCATCGATACGGAGATCCCTTCCGGCCGGAATAATCCGGGATTTAATCCTTTTTCCCGAATGGCCGGTCAGTGGGTTCATTCTTCCAACTACTGTTCCACGTCGGCGATCAATTCGAGCGTTGTTTTATTTTTATATATTTTTTCAAATTGTTTATCCCGTCTTCAGGGCGGTTAACCATTTGTGTATGTAGGCGGAAGCGTTTATAGATCCTTTCGGTTTGTCTTCCTAAATCCAGACGTGGTTGTGGGTAATTTCCATGAAATTCAGAATAAGCTTCAAAGTGTATCGCGCTACTCTAATGACGCAAATAAAATGATGCTTCAGTATAGTATGTTCTATGGAGTTCATTCTATACCCAATTGTTCCACGGTGGCGATCAATTCGGACGTTGTTATAATGTCATATGTTTTTTTTAAATTGTTTATCCCGTCTTCAGGGCGTCTAACCTATTATAGATTTAGGAGGAAGCGTACATAGGTCCTTTTGGTTCACCCTGTTCGGTTTGTCTTGCTAAATCCAAACGTGGCCGCAGGTAATTTCCATGAAATTCAGGGTGAGCTCCAAGGTGTATCGAGCTATTCTGGTAGGGCAAATAAAATATTGCTCCGATATGGTACGTTCTATATCAGCATGGTATGACCCTGGTTGCGGAGACCGGAATGGACCCCTGAGGATATGGCAAGATTGGTCAAGCTGGTATTTAGGTTGGAAGGGGAGGTGGAATGTGGGTGGTGGTCCATTGGCGACCATCGACTTTGATCCATCCTCGGGTTTGAGTCTCCTCTAGAAGATACCTCGCGTAATTACCGAAACCACCTAAAACTGGTTAACAAGTCTTTCTCGTTATCAAATCCAGTTAATGCCACGTTCTCTTTCTTTTTTTACCCAGAATATTTGCGAAGGCGTGTGTAGATAATTAGACATTTCCTTCACTTCGGGGTTCAATTGGACCTGTTCGTGCAATTATTGGGGATATTTCCTTCTAGTGGATTCTCCTTCTAAGGCAATCTTAAACGTGCAATACTCGGCCATTGCGGTTTATCGAACCACCCCATGTCCACGGAAAATTTGCTGGTGTCTCTGGGCGGCTCGAATATGCAGCCGATTGACTACCAATCGATTTATCGACTGCCAAGGAAATAATATACGTGATCCGTTGTTTGAACTGACGTATTATTCCTGTCCCCGCACAATCAGTTCCCAGTCCAGGGGTGCCAACCGCACAATGGTAAAAGAATACCTTTGTTGGCAGAACGCAATGCAGTCTTCGGAATTACAAAATTCTTTGTATAGCTTTTCATTTGATCTAATGGACATCTGGTTTTTCTAATTAATTAGGCGTCTTTGTATATCTTAAGTCATCCTTCTGGTGTCTGGAGTGCTTGAACGTTTGGACATTTTCTAGACATCTCCTTGTCGAAATGGCCTTCGGCGAACAATGGATGCCATTGGGGTTTATTGGACCACCCGATGTCGGTGCAGAATTTGCGGGATGTCTCACCATGGCTGAGTTCTATAGACGATTGACTGCCAATCGATTAATCGACTGCCAAGGAAATAATAAGCACTATCCATTCAATGAGCCTCGTATTATCCCGACTGCTGCCGAGTGATCCATTTCGTTATTAATAAGCATTTATTAATAATTTCATTCCGACGCTTTTAAGCTCCGCGCTACATTGAAATTTCAGCTTCTCGTAAACGATATCATATTTTATACTCGCTAATTAATGGAGCATTAAAAGAAGCACCAAAATGGCCGCTTTCCGTTTCGCTCACGGTCATATATAATTGTCAGCTTAAACGGAATGCGTAATGAGCGGGAATTGGGGCTAGCATTAATACGTAATTGCAGCTTAATCATTCCATCCTCTTGTCACAGTCTATAATATCGGTAAGCCGCTTAAAACTCAATAAACAGGTCGTAAAAAATTCATTGCCCGATCGGAAGACTCATTTCGTGCCTTCGACCGTAAATCGGAGCGCCGCCATATTGTTATTCCGATGTCCAATAATTTCCAACATTTTCGATGACCCGTTTTACATTAATATAAAATAAAGGCGTACACACTTGCAACTGCCCGAATACTTCGTCTTTTCATCTTGGAAAGAATAGAAATATTTTGACCAGTATTATTTGGGAAATTCTGTGGAAATAATAATAATGTTAATGAAATGTCTGGAAATAATCGGTGATTTTTCAGGTGATCAGTCGCAAGTGTGTCGCTTTCAAGGAAAGTGTTTGAAGAATAGGTACTCACCTCAGCAGGAAAGGCATAATTGTTTATGTGATGTTCAGAGCCGCAACAATTGTCCAAGCCGTAGTGGATATAAATCTCTTCGAACTGATAATGATAAGCGAGTGGACCACCTGTTATATTGACTTGTACCTTGGCCTCTTTATCCGCCCGAAATACCAAAAATTGACCAGTATTGTGCAAATGCCCGGACATCTGAAACAATTAATTAAAATTCTCAGTACCCTCTATGAGCATACATACCGCATCGATTTGACAGGTTTTACATGTCGCTAAATTTAATTAACATTCGCCGTCTCGAAATTCCTGGCGTAGTATGATCAATTAATTTTCAAACATTTTCCCGCCCCAGAATTCGCGTAGATAGGTTCAATATATTATTATAATTAATTTAAATATCTATGAAAGCGCTCGAGAGGGGCGACCTATCGTTAATGTAATTAATTAAATACACGGGGCTTTTGCCTTTAACTATAAACGACTACTTTCCCTGAATGCAACGCAATTACACGTATAATGCACAAACTCCTGAAGTTTGCTATTAATTTATAAACGTTCTCCGAGTACTTTGTTAGTATAACGTAATACTATAGCTGAATTAACGTTGTGATTTAATTGGAGGTAATGATAACTGACGAGGTTTCGAGTTGTTATGGTATACAAATTCTTGGAGAATGGTTGCTAATTTGCGGAGGTTTTTCGGGTATGCGGAGCTCGTCGTCTATTTTCAGGCACTTAGTCGTCTCGGGCAAACTTGTACAGTAAATATCGCGAGTAAATAGAATTTGCCAAAGGCGAGGTTGGGATTTGTTAAGGACAGTCGAACACCTCCCTTCGCGTCGTATCTAACCCGTTCTGTCGTCGTCTCGCACCGGCAAGACAATCGGATTGCCGCAGTTGCAGCTGCACCTGGTTTGGCGCAATACAAGGAGTTCCTCTTAGAGCTCCCCAACGACCTTCCCAGAAATTTAGAAAATCCCTTCGCCTCAAACTTTTCCCTCTCTCGACCCTTCTCCATCTCCGCAGGAGATTCTCCTCGCGGGAATTCCAAATGAAATTTTCAGGGATTTCGAATTTTCTATTTTCCACTCCGCAGCGCTACTCGCCGTGAAAAATCGAATAGAAAATCTCTCTTGCGAAATTTTCTTACGCCAACGGTTGTCGAGATATTTCGAATCTAAGTCGACCATATAGTTAGCGTGACGGAGCCGTCCCCTGATTGGCCGATTCTATTTCTGTACATCTCGGGAATTATTCTCTAAAAAAAGTCGGAGGAGTCCGACATTTTTTTCAGGTAATACTACCTCACGGTATTTTTTATCCTAAATCTCCGGTTAGTCCTTCGTTTCTTGAAAGGGGGTGAGATGTAATCTCTACAAAACATTAGCAGGAAATAAACGTCTCCCCCGCCATCTTTTGTCGGTCAGACGGCAGGCGGTTCGGCTCGGTGACTCCATTTTCTCGTACGTCGGACGAACCTGAAATATGGCGTCATCAGTAAGAAATAATGAGTTGAGCCCGGTGGTAACCAGCCAGAATAAGACGCGTCAGCAAAAGTCGGCTGGGCTAACTTATTATTTCGCAATAGATATCCGTTTCCATTAACTTAGCCGTGCGGCCTAACCTGCGCCATATTTCAATTAGTTCCGGCCGATGAGAGGTTAGCTGAAACCCGGTCGGTCGGCCATATTGAAAATATGCATCAGCTCTTCCGACTGAGTTCTTCCCCGTTTTTTCGCGCGTTTCAATAAAACATATTCCATTTTTTTGCGCAGTGATTTGTATTAAATACGTGAAATCCGTATATCAGCGATGAAATATGAATATATATGAGGTCCACAATATTCAAACAATCGACTATTTCCATATTTCACCTCGGTCTTATCGTTTCAATATTCCATTTTTTGCCCACAAATTTGTATTAAATACGTGAAATCCGTTTATCAGCGATGAAATATGAGTATATATATGAAGTGCACGATTTTCAAACAATGGACTTTTTTCATACCCCACCTCGGTCTTACCAACCGCAGTTCCTCAACCTAACCCAACCTAAACCCGTCCAAACCTAACCTCCAACGAACGGCGGGAAAAGGCGAGGTCCTCCCTGCTTGTACTGAGTTCACCGCTCTTAACTCACCCCTACCCCTTGCCCGATGAAAAGCGCCACCCTGGTACTTTCGAACTCCAGTTTTAGGCACTAGGAACATCCCTTTTCCCCTAGAATCGCCCAGCGAAGTCGGTCGAAGAACAATCGTTCTTCGATCCGCTCGCGTCCCTCCATTTCGCAGGGAACTTGGGCCACGGTCGCGGTGGGCGGAATTTCCACTAAATGTGCCCACGGTTCGGTGAGTACTTCGCAGGGGGCGCCACTAGCGGCTCTAGTTTTCCTCATAAGTCCCTAGAAAAGCCTTTTCATCTGCTTCTCGAGCAACTGAACGAGGTGTTAGTCTAGCGCTCTCTCTCTCTCTCTTATTTTGTCATGAAAACTCTCTTTGTACACCTTAGCTAATTTCCATAATCTTTGTTGCTTGTTTCCGTATGCGTCGTACACGATTTTCCTAGGCGCTCAACATTGCTTAACTTTAGTGACCGAACGAGAACTGGTGTTTTTAACCTGGACTAAGAGTTGGCATGAGCTTTTTAGATTATCCTTGCCAAAACATATTTACCAAAACGTATTTACAAAAGTATATTTACCAAAGCATGTTCACCAAAGATAAAGAGCAAAGTCCAAGTCTGTGCAGATTTCAATTTGTTCGATCTGAGAGGAGCTGCAATCTAATCCGAATGTTAATGAGATATAACCTCCTTCCTCTCATGCGGTACAGTTTTCCCAGAACGGGGAATTACAGAGGTCGCTGCGGGTGCCATTCCCACCTAGGGGAATCCTCTTAAGCGGTCTGATTTCCCCGGAACATCGCTCGATAATTAATACGAATCCGCGGGGTGTCGATACCGAAATCGGAATGCGCATCACGTTTTCAATCCCTGTTCAACCCTTTCCCGCTGGGGCACAATAGGGTGCGCTGGATAACTACTGTAGTAATGGTCGATATTTATGCCCTCCACGGTTGTGCACCGTGGGACAGTTACATTGGCCGAATTACGCGCCGAGGACGGACAGCATTATCAAATGAACGTGTTTACGCGGAAATTAGAGACTTTCCTAAATACGTATTTATTAAAGATTCCGGAATAAGATAAATATAATTTTATTATACATTTTTTAACCCTAAAGATGATACGCCCCCTCTACGTTGTCTCTTTCAACCTAACCTCAACCACAAATTATACGAAAATGTTTGCCAACCACGTAAAGTTAACATGTTGTTACGCAGCGATAAGTGTCCAACTCGTGGAGAGGATGACTTTAGATAATTTCGTTTAACGATTAACTTCGGTATACGAAAACTGATTACGCTTTCAATCCCTCTTCCATGCTTTGCCCGTGAACAATGGAGAGCCCCGGTTAACGACTGCAGTAATGTACGATGTTTGCGCCCCTCTAGTAGTTTACCGTAGAACAGCGGTGTTCCCCGAAATATGGAATTCGAACCGGAAGTGTCGCGCGATTGTCACGCACGTGTCATCTTTAAACCGGAAGGTTAACATATGTCGGCAGCGGGGCATGAAAAGTAGACGTATGAATGCCCGCCGATTGATATTGAAATCGCAACCCGGTCACCTCTTCAGCCCCTAATAAACCGTTATTCCTACAACGATACAGGACCAGCTTCATTGGATCTCAAAAACCGATACCAATCGATTATTTTTCCGCGAGATCGTTAATTAAAGCAAAAATTATACTGCGGTTTTACGTTCAAGTTTCAAACGCGAACGTCGAAGCATGCCGGTATACATTGTTTCGTTTGCGTCGTCTATCCGCCAATAGCCCTGATTTTTAATTATTTTTTTTTCTCCTATCGATTTGTTGACAATTTTTATAAAACTCAAGGGGTGTCAAGAATCAGTCGCGGAAAAGTGCGTCTAGATTGGTTAGGAGGTACGGCGGTAGAGCGCGCCACCATCGGTCGGAAACGGACGGAAACGGGCGGAATCTGCCGAGCCGAGACGTACGTTCGAGGGTGGCGCTCGTTCTATTGTTTAATTCAAGTGCCGAAGTTTTAACCGGGTTAAACGGGGTATAAATTCGCGGCGATTAAGCCCGCGACGTCAGCTTTCCGCAGGCGGTTTCAGCCCCGGCCGGAGGAATTCCGCGGGCTGACGGCGCGCTTCGGAACACTTTTTCAAGCGGCCCGCGCCGCTAAACAATGGCGGCCGCGAAGGTGGCGCCACCGCAGCGGGAAGTGCCGCGGAATGGATACGACGGCATTCATGCCGGGCGAGGCCGACAACGGAAAGCGTGAAGGAAAGAAAGACTTTCTATGCCTTTCATTCCACGACACCTTTCATGCCGCAGAGGCGTTTTCACGGAAACCGCGCTCCTTGTCCCTCGATAAGCGATACGTTTCCCCCACGGATTTGTTAATTGCATGAAACCTGCGCCCCTTGAAGTCTCTGCAGAGGTAATGTGTGAATTCCTTTTCATTAAGATTTTCCGTCCTCGATTTTTTTGGTTAGGTATGTCGGCAGTAGAGGGTGTCGCCATCACGTTCCTTGTTTCTAGGGACTTTCTTCTTTACGCGTATGGCCGCGATGGGGCGCCACTCCCGCCGAGAGAGCCTCTCAATGGCGTCCCCGGTACGCGTGACCTCGAAAACGACGAGAGCGAAGTTTTCTCTTTGTGATTCCGAGCGGGCCGCCCTCTCCTGGGAGCATTCCCGGTGAATGACGTACTTTAGAACTTTTGTTTCGAGATCAGCAATTTGTATCGCGCGTCTCCGGTTCCACGCCGCTCCTCTTGCATACCGTCTTACTCCGCGGCGCTTCCCTCACTGACGCCCCCGACTCTCCTCGAATCAGCTTTCAATCCTCCCTTATGGCCCATGGTTCGCTGCCATTTTATGACACCTTTTCAACGAAAGTCCGAGGAACTTCCGAGCGAGAAGAGGTCGTCGGAAAAACTCGATTTCGCGAGGCTGAAGGAAGCGTGCTCCGGCCGAGAAAAAAAAGTAGATCCCATTCACGGTAAAATCTCCATAACCTTTAAGGCCTTCGGAAAAGCACTGTTTTTAAGTTTCGTGGAAAACACATTTCTTCTTTTCATAAGCATTCGTTTTAGGCATCACCCCTCGATGACTTTTTATATTCCAGGATGTCGGGCTCTTTTACAACTGTCTCGGTAATGTGCAAACCGATGCCACTATTCACCTCTGTATATCTGAGTATTCTATGGCCCAAGCGGTTCCTTTGTTACGTCTCGGACGTGGTCACGTGACCCGTCGCGCATCGAGAGTGGGGGGTGACCGGCTGGGTATAAAAGCCAGCGCAGCGCGCCGGATTAACAGAGCCCAATCGACCGGGCTTGAAGAAAGGTGAGTTAACGTCCTATCTTTTTCCAGGACAACCTGCTTATTCGATGCGACGGAACAGAAGGCGGACCTGGATTAACTGGAAGTAGTTTTATCTTTCTACGTATTTATGTAAACAATTTTGAAATAAATTGTTTTACACGTTTTGACAAAACTTGTTATGTACTTAACCGAAGAACTATTCGAAACGCGAGGAGCACCAGGGAGTCAAAGTTTATATCGGATCTTCTTAAATTCGATTCATTCGCGAGTAACCTAAAGGGGACTTCGGAAACTGAATAATCAACCCCAAAGAGGTATTCCCGTAAAGGGGTGAAACTAGATGAGAGGCGCAAAGGACGAAACTCCCCGAGCTGTCACTCGCGTTAACGAATTTCTAACTTCCTTACGGTAGGTCGGCCATTTTTCACCCCAGAGTTTGTTAATTCGATAATTAAGTTATTAATAACAGAGAGCGGGGCGCCGGCTAACCAAACCGCGGGACGACCGGTTACATTTACAGCTATGTAAAAAGGAAACAATTTGTCAAAACTTTGGACAGGTATTATTCCACTGCCGGAACGGAATCCCCTCCCCCGCGGAGTTCGTGATCTGATATAATTAATAACTGCCCATGAACCATTTTCCCGAAACTTTTGTATCTACGAGTGACGTATGATATGTGGGAAAAATCACCCGCTGAAGTCTTCTGTCTTTTTCCATTCTTTTTTTTCCTTGGCGAAAGAGATTTTCTAAATTTAATCGTGGTCAGTAAAGCGAATAATGGCTTTTTAAACTGCAACGAAGTTCTGGCAAATTTGTCCTCTCCTCGGGGCGCGGTAGGGTGCGTTTGAAAAGGGCGATCAATCTTTTCGAATTTCGATTTTGAACGAGGGTCGATGCTCCCCCTTGTGATGGACGCCGCTATGGTCAAATTAATTAGTCAAAGAACAGCTGATAAATTACCTTGTGCTTGTCCACGTGTACCGGCCTCAAATGGGGGTCGAAAAGCAACTTGTCAGGCTCGACGTTGATGGGACTCTGTCGTCTACCCTTGCTGCAGAGGTACCACTCGGGGTTTATGAGACCCCAGAACGATGGACCTGCAAAAGAGAAATGATGTTTTCTTTCACAACTGCGACTCAGCGGCAATTAAAATTTGTCAAACATTTCCATCGCCAGCGCTTTCACGGTGGACGTGCATTTAATCCGAATACCCGGAGGGAGGTAATATATGCGACGTTACATTCGGCAGGGTTTCCGCATCGATGCGAAATCCGCATTATCGTCAGCATCCTTCCCAACGAGAGAGGGGGGGAAAACTACGGACTTTTCTGTTCTTCGAATTGAAAATTTGTATAATTCCAACTTTTCGCGTCTCACAGGGCCGCCGCTCCGTTGATCCCCGACAAGTTTTACTCGCGAAAAGAATTTTCAACTCGTTCCACGTTTCGGACACAAGGGACGTTCGCCACCCCCGAACTACCTCGACCCGCCTCACATCTCGGGTGCCCAACTCCTTGGAGAAATTTAACTTTTCCTACGTCAGCGGAAATCGATATCGAGAATGCCCGGTTAACGAGGCTGAGTCCTCGCACGGGATATCCATTTTTCCCTCCGAGAGCTGACGAGGAGTCGCGGAGGAATTGTTGGGAAGGCTAGGAGAAACGGAGATCTTGGAAATCCCGTTTAAAGAAATAAAAAGAACGATGTTTTGAGCACCATTGGTTTATCCCAGGAGAGGGGAGAGAGCTGAACGCTGATTGGCTGCGCCACTCCCCCTGAGCGACGCTATTGGTCGTCGATGCGATTCATCAGGGGTACTCATCTTAATTCTATTTTCATTGTGAAATAACAACATTTGATGTCTCTATCGTTAGTTCGATTGCGTATAAAATGGAAAGGACCTCGTGGACCGAAATTCACCCTATTCTAAATAATCACGTCGGCGATATTACGGTTAGAGCCAAACGTTAATTAACCCATTTCGCCGGGATTCGAAAATTGTCGTCAAAGCGACGTTTTTCGATGCTTTTGAAAGGAATGTTCGCTACGCGTCGCGCCGTTAACGAAGTGACGGCCGCGCGGTCGTTAATTTACCTTTTCTTTTTTTTCCGACACCTTCCGCGCCGCGAAGACTCCACTTGGGATAACTATCTTCAATGTCGAGAACCTCGACTTGCGCGCGTGCGTGATATTACGCGTGTCTTCTCCATTTATGCCTCGAGCATGACGGAGGACGCTGGAGTGGCACGCAGGCCTAATTAAAAATTATCGGACGACAAACGGGCACGTAACCTCCGCATCAGCTGGTCAGTCGTTGTCGCTTAATTACCCCGACACGATGGACACGAAATCCATCCTACTGCGGCAAAGCGGAAATCCTTTTCAAGGACTCGGTACGAAGTTTCTTTTGCGAGTCCGTCAAATTGCACGGAGTCGGCCGGTATTTCCATAATGGCGGAAAATAAAACGCATTCCGCCGTTCCCGAGGGCAGGGGCAATTTTAAATCGGACGGAACCTCCAATTTCTGCCGCTAAGTCGCACGTTCGGGCCATTCCGCGACGTTCCGTGATCCTACGTGGTGAAATGACCAGTTGCGACTCCTAACCTCAATCTCGACCGAGTCGGCACGCAACGCGGAGGCGCACGCACGCGCATGATTGGTTCACGCGTGTCTTCCGCGTTTCAGCCAGAAGCGTGACGTAGTAACGCTCGAGTGGCACGCTAGCATAATTAAAAATTACCAGGCGATAAACGTATACCTAGCCGCCATGCACGCCGGTCAATGGCGGGCGTAATATGGCGGCGCAATATGGCAGCCGCTTAATTACCGCAATTCGAATGGAATTAGGTTTGTCCTATTAGCATTTTCATGGGACGGCTCGAGAGCGGCACGACCGGCGCGAAATGGCCGCTTCGCAAACGGACACTAATTGCTTCGCCCTCGTCCTCCGCGATTTCACTTGCCGTCAATCTTTCTCCCTAGGGAGTCACTCTAACGAGGGAGACTTTTTTACTCGACTGCCAATCCTAGGGAATTCCCGCGACGTCGACGCGCCACGTCTCGGTGACTCGAACCCGTCCGACCCATGCAAATGCCTCCTTTTTTTTCGACCAGGGTCCAACTTCAGAATGCAAAACTGCACAAGAAAAAAACTGGCAAATTTGACTACCCGAATCAAAGATATGACATACCCAGATATTTACTATCATTTTGTATGTTTAACGGAAACTTAAATCCGCCCCTCATCCTGATCACTCGATCCCTTTCAGCCCATGTAAATGCTTCCTTTTTTTGGAACAGGGTCCAAATTCAAAATGCAAAATTCTGCCACTGAGTCAACGGGAAGACGACCAGATTATTTATTAATTTAATAATTTCTGCAAAAATGTTCAAAGTAGAATATTTTACGAGCGAATTGAGAATTTCCAATCGGCTCTCAATTTTGACCGATTATACGTTAATTCACCTCCGAGCAACTTTTTAACTCGAATTCTGATGGAAATAGTTGCGCGAGAAGTGACGTCATCAATTTTCCTCCCCGGCCAGGGAGCTCAAACGACTGGATCTTTTTATACGTCTGCCATCGGGGGAAAGAAACTTTGGTCGCCATCTATTTCCCCCGCAGTCCCGAAGAGTCACGGTGATAAACACAACCCCCGGGAATTCCTGTATCAATGTCGCGACATTTTTCGCTGGTTAAAGATCATCCGTGAATTAATGTCAAATCCGTTGTTCAAAGTGTTTGAAATCATTCTAGGGTAACTAGTGCCGAGAAAACGGAGAGGAAGTTTTAAGGGGATTTTTTTAATCCCTCGAGGACTCGATCCATCCGATTGTCACCAGACAGTCAGGAGATTCCAATATTTCCCCAGTTAGAGACTTAATCATCTCGATTTCCAGATTCAAGGCGCTCAAAGCTTCCCGACATCGGGATCCATCTTTAATTAGGTTCCCGACTAATCTAGGAATTACTTTGATGTCAGAATTAACATCCCTGCAGAATCTCTGCAGGAAGGACAACTTTCAAATTAGCAGGATTCCAGCAAAAATTGCTAATTTTACGTTACACCCCGCCGCCGGAATAATCACGGCTAAAGATCTCATCCTAACGAAATGATTAATCACGAGAACTTAATATCGCCAGGCGAGGGAAGGAACGGCCTCCGAGGATGACGTTACAAAAGGTCGTAATAAAAACGCCGGCCAAATTTTCAATTACTAAACCCGTAACCCAGAACATCTACCCTAATTTAATCGGCATCCATCTAATGGCGAGACTTAACGTAACTCGCAAAAGATTTCTAATCTTCGCTTTTGTTTGCCGCCGCCATTTTGAATTTCCCGCCTCGTCCGATGCCGCGACGAGATTTATCCGTTTGGCGAATAATTGCTTAATTAGCGGGTACCGGGGGCAGGAGACGGCGGGAAACGGGAAAACAGCCGGTAGAAGGTGAGATAGGTAATGGAATAATGTGGCCAGATGGAGTGATTACTTTCTTATAACCTAGAGAGGCAGCAAAGCCGTTATAGCATTCATCACGCCTTCCCTTCCCTGCCCCTCGACGCCTCCTGCAGCCTGCAAGGGCCGGAGGCGCCGGCCGGGGGCTGTAACAACCCTATTATTGAAACTTCAAGCGCGGAGCAATCATTCTGCAATTAGCAAAAGTGATTAAGTGTAGAAGCCAACAGCCTCGGCGGCCCACTCGCGCCATAACCTCCGCCTCACGCGCCGCCATTATGTCTGACGTGCGAAGCATCGAGCCCGTCGTTATTTCTTAAACTACGATCATCGTCCATGACTACTTCGGTCAAACGCGTTCGTCGAATGCCCGTTCCATTTGCTTTCTCCTGAATTTCTCCATTTTGTACGTAATCTCGGCTGACTTCCAAATTTTGTACCTTTCGCCCCGACTTCCACATATTTTTTTAAAGAAACTCCTCATTATGCGTATAAATTTGCCTGCTGCAACGGAGGTCCAATTTGTAAAATGAAATGCTTCTTTCTTTATCATATGCAATTACTATTTACATTCGTTACCGTCAATACGCCGTCCTCTCAGTTAATAATTAATATTAAATGTGAAATAACAACAGTACGACAAACAAAAATATCGAAATAGTCACGGCGAAAACAACCGACCCCGACCAGATGAGCTGTCATTTCGCGAATGAATAATTGAGAATAATTAATAATACATAATACATTGTCTTTGACTTAGAAGTTTCACATCCAATGTTTCGTCGTTCCGCCAAGATTTCGACATTGGATGCAAGAAGCAAATAATTAAAATCAAACCGAATTACGTTCAGTCATAATTATCCCCCTTCACCGGGCGTCAAGAAAAGCCCTTCGTGGAACGTCTTCCAGTTTCCCGAAGAGTAGATGGAAAGAAATAGGGAAGAGAGAAATGGGTGGCCGCGATCGGGGTGGTCGTTTCTTTTAGTTAGATGGAAATAAATAAGAAAAACACGGAGAGAGAGAGCGGAGGGGTGCCAAGTCGCAACCACGTGCCCGTGGATTTCCGCGTCTTTGCACCCCGGATGCATTTTACTCGGCGGTTATCGACGACCCCTAACCTCGAAAGCCGGATCGGAGGTAGGGGCGTCTGCGGAACCCGAGTGAAGTTGCTCCGAGGCCCCCGTGGGGGTGTGAAGTCCAATTAAGATGTTTTTCAACGGCGGGGCTTAGCCCGCAGACATCTCCGTATCTAGGTGGCGCTGCGCCCCGGCCTACCGGTGAATTCATATGCATACATGAATACATTTCTCTGTTCTCCAATCAACCCACGGCGTCGCCGCGCTGTTTCCTAGGGAATCTTTTGTCCCCGTCGCTCCGCCCGGATATTTTCGCCCGCGAAAATATACACCCTAATGAAGAACGGCCTCGTCATTACGCCGAGCCTTCTCCGGTCTTCCGGTTTTGTTCGACGCGCCTCCCGTTTTGTCATCCGAAAACCAGCCACTTTTTCACGTATCCTCATCCCATCTTCTCGAGGGGCCATTCACTCAGAAATCAGTGAAAACGATCTCCATCTTTTAGATTGCCTTTGATTTCGTATGACGGACTACAATGCGATGAGGTAACAAGGAACGTT